CTTTCTTGTGATTTAAACGGAATTACAAGGGGACTGGTTGCATTGAATTGAACTTCCGCCATTGCGAGGTACCATCAACAAAACAATATTGTAAATAGCGGGTTGCAGCGTTGAGTATTTGAAATTCAACTAGAGTTTTAGATTACTTTGACAATTAGCATACATTGATTGGTCATTTTTTTGTAATATGATATCTGAATGAGAATTTCCATAGAAACAACTACTTGAATGCTATCGATTTCCTTGTGAAGAGAACATTGGCAACCTGGCCGTAGAGGGAAGGAGCAGGAAAATTATTTGTCCAATCTTGTAAACTTCGGGAGAAAGATATTTATTTTATTATACACATACAAATATTGACAATTAAACACATTTTATACACATGCTCCTTTTCATGTGTGCTTCTGTCAAATTTCCCGGAAAATTAGTATCTTTGCCCTTTGCTCCCTCAATTTGATCACAACAAGACCCCTGTTTTGAAGGAAAAAACATTAGACAGACACAACCTCGGTGGATAGTTAATTAAGCAGGAAAACATTCTAAGCTATGCTGGCCAGATTTCCGAAAGTTTTAAGCGATAATTTCCTTATCAGTTATTTACTCTCTTCAATTAAATTTCTTACAATTTTCATACCTTTTCAATCATAGAACTGATTAAATTTCTATGATCTCCCTTGCCACTCCTTGGCCACTGAACCAGTGGGTCATCTCACACTATCAAGTGTAAGCAGCCGTGTCTGAGGGTCTAGAAAACTAATTAATAAAGAAGTTTTCATAATGGGTAATTTCAATGTTTATCTACTAAATTATGACTCGCATACACCTACGTTTGACTTCATTTAGACTTTCTTCTCAAATAAATTTTTACCTTGCATAAATCAGCCAACCAGAATTTCCAATCTTTCATCGACAAACATTAATAATATTTTAACAAACTTAACTAATGCTCAAATCACTAGTGGAAATATTTTGACACATATATCGGATCATTTCCCTCAGGTAATAATATTACAAAATGTAAAAACTTCCAAATAAAAGGACGAAATTTCAAAACATGACTATTAATTTTTTAATGAGAGAGATTTTGTAAATGATTTAATCGGACTTGATCTGAACAATCTTAATTCTGTCTCTGATATTGATAAGGTTTATGATCAATTTCTCAATGACGTTACTTTACTAGCCGAGAAGCATGTTCCTATTATAAAGTGCACTGACAAAGAATAAAAAGGTTAGGAAAAACCTTGGATCAACAACAGATTACAAAAAATGATGAAAATTCGCGATCGACTTCTAAGGAATAAAAAAACATAGCTTAGAGAACAATGCAAAATTTTATAAAAATTTTCCAAATCGCGTAGCAAGTGAACCGAAGAAAAGTAAAGTTAACCACTTTAAAGACTTCTTTGCAACAAATTGTAGGGATATGAAGAAGATTAGGAATTGAATTAAGTCAATAATTTCACATAAAGGTTCTGTTAAGTCAAATATTTCTCAAATTAAAGTTGAATACGGAAACTCAATATCTGACCCTACCCTACCCAAATGTCGAATATACTTAATGAATATTTTGTTAATGTCGCAGAAAATATAACTAAAAGCATCTCAAAAGCACCCAAGTCTCCCCTTCAATATCTTAATAGCAGAATTGCAAATTCTTTGTCTCTCTCTCCAGTCACTCATCTAGAAGTTGAAGATGACTCCTCACAGTGTTCCAATAAATTTAATAAAAATTCTTAAACAACACATCTCCTCCCGTCCACTGGATGAGCTCATTAATCAATCTTTTCTTAACGGAATTTTCCCATGGAAATTAAAGTTGGCTACAGCAGCCCCTCTTTTTTATAAGGGGAACCCTGGAGTTAGGTCAAACTATAGGCCGATCTCCTTGTTGCCAATTTTTAGTAAATTGTATGAATAAGTAATGCACAAAAGGCTCCACTCTTTTGTTACTCATAACAAAATCATATATCCTTTACAGTTTGGCTTTCAAGGAAATCATTCGATTGATCATGCATTAATTAGTATGACAGAAGCTATTAGAAGTAGCGTTGGCAACAAAAGATATGGGTGTGGTATATTTATTGACTTGCAAAAGGCCTTTGATACTGTAAATCATAACATTTTGCTTTCCAAAATCGAACACTATGGGATTAGAGGGAATGCACTTGGGTGGTTCAAATCGTATCTTACAGGCAGAGCACAGTTTGTTTTCAATTAATGGTAGAAATTCAGAGCCACTGAAGATTACATATGGTGTTCCCCAGGGATCAGTGCTAGGACCCTTGACCTTTCTTTTATGGATCAACGATTTACCAAGAGTTTCAAAACATTTAAAATTCTTCCTCTTTGCTGATGACACAAATATCATTGTGTCATCATGGTTAAATATATTGTAAGTGCCATTTATAAAGGTAACTCGACGACCTTGTGTCTTTTCCCTTCATGAATGACACCATATGAAGTAGTTTTTGCCTAGCCTTAATGTTTTAATTGCGGAATTAAAAAAAACACAGATATCTAATTTGAATCAGAGATACTTGAAAAGCTCACTAAAAAGGCTAACAAAGAACTAAAATATGTCAAAATCTTGGCTTGATGCTAATAAACTCTGTTTGAATATAAGTAAAGCTAACTTTATAATTTTTCATACTTTCTCAGCCTCATTACCACTAGACATTATAATCAAAGTCGGTAAAAACCACATTTTCAAGGTAAATTCATCAAATTCTTAGGGCTTCTCTTGGATGAACACCTTCATTGGAAATAGCATCTTGCTGAACTCCAAAAAAAACTGGCAAGAACCTGTGGCATTCTTTTCAGGATTAGGAACCTCCTTCCAACAGTTACATAAATACCAATTTATAATGCTTTGTTTATGTCCTTCTTACAATATGGTATTATTGTTGGGGGATAAACGTTTGATTCACATATTGAGCCATTATTCAAATTACAAAAAAGAGCTGCTAGAGCTATATCACATCAAGAATTCTTTGCTCATTCTCTTCCTATTTTTAAAAACTTAAAATTATTTAGAATCTCAGATGTTTTTTAAACTGAAACTATTATCTTTTGTTTATGAATCAATCAATAAGCTAACTCCAATGTACAATGCCTGCCAAAAGTCTTGGAACACTGACATCAATTTCCAAGGTCAAAACCAATCATCCCCTTCTCCCCCACGGAACAATGTTGATTTACTATCAAACGG